CACGATTTGGGTTTCACCTGTGGACAGTGGTCCACGGGCACAGCGTTTCCCGGGATTTGGTGTCCCGGGGGCGTGGCCGGTGTCCCAAGGGCGTGGTGACCGGCCAAGGGCGTGGCCGGGGCGTGGCCTCTCCGGTGCCCCGAAGCCCCGCCCCGGGCGCGGTCCCGCTCCGCCGGTGTCGCCGCCGCTCCGGCCGGTGCCGCTGCCGCTCCYGCCCGGGGATGTACGCCGGCAGGAAGAGGAAGAAGCCGGTGCCCAAGAGGTGGGTGCAGGGAAGGGGGTTCTCCCGGTCACCCCCAGGTGCGTGGGAGCGGGGAGAGCGACGGAGAAGCGGGCAGCGGGAGCCAAAGTGGGTCTGGGGCAGTGCCTGGAGCCGCTGCGGTGCGAGCGCTGGGGAAGCCAAAGGGAGCAGCGTGCTTGAGTTACTCGGTTTTAATTAGGAGTTAGCGCTGGGTCGGCTCTGGCACGCTGGTGGGAAAACAGAAATCCCAAWGATGCTCATCCTGCATCCCGGTGAGGTGCCTGCCCTTGCCGGAGAGTCGGAGCTGCTCGCAGTGATTTCCAGGCTGGGCTGTGTTTTGGTGCCTGCCTAAATCGAACGTAAAGCGATTATTAATTACCAAAACATCTCAATTCCTTAATTATTAATTACCATGCTGTTTGGTGGCTGTTGCACATCATCGTCCTCGGTGTTCCCTGCCTCCCTCGTGCCTTGCCCCCTGCCCAGCTCCCAAGTCCCATCATCCTGTTTAACCTGGGGTTTCCAGGTGTATGGGAAATAAAGGTGGATATACATTTCTGGGAGACTGCATGGGGAGGAGATGGATGAGCTGACCCCAAGCCTGGGGTGAAGGAGGGAGCATCAACATTTTAAACCTGTGGTGAGTTGACCTAGAGCCTCTCTTGGGTATTTATTTGGGAGTCTTGTTGTGGAAAAACATGAGGGATGGTTGTTTTGCCTTAAACCTGTGTGCTGTTCATCTCGGGGCAGTGATTCCAGCCCTCTGGCATASCAGACTGAGGGTTTGGGCTGGATTTGTGTGGCTCAGGATGCAGGAGAAGGKGTCTCTTTGGAGCAGAAGGGCCCTYGTTCCCYGGGTCTGCAAGGTCAGCCTTGGGAACAGGAGGAGATTCTTTCTCTCTGTGCAGGGTCAGGGCTGGGAGCAGGGTCCTGCTGGGAAAGGCCAGGCAGAGCAGGGCTGGGGGCAGTGGGATGTGCAGCCAGCCGGATGGGTTGGGGACAATGGGCTGAGGGGCTTCTGCAGTGCCTTTACAGTTTGCTCAGGGCTTATTACTTATTTAAAAAAACTATTAATAAAAATTAGGAGATGATAGATCARCTCAGGCAAATCCCACTGCAGGGAATGAACCTGCAGAAGGGATACACTTCCTAACAGGTTCCCATTCCAAGGGCAGCCGGGTGAGACAAACCCCAGCAGCAGCACAGCCTTTGCCCCGCTGGGAGCAGAGCTTCACCATGGCACGGTGTGCATCAGAACCAGCGGGGCCAAAGGGAAGGGCTTTAAACAGCCTGTGAATATCCAGATACAGCTCTGCTGCTCCCATGAGGGATTTTCCTCATTGTCATCCCCCTCTCGAGGCTGGCCTGGAGTGCTCTGTGTGCTGCAGCTGGGACACTCAGGAACAGAGATGTTGGGGTGTCCTCCTTGAGCTTGGGGTGACTTTGCTGGCTGTGTCACCCCATGTGCCTCAACCAGGGGATTTTCAGTGCTTGGCCAGGCTGTCCCAGAGATTCTATTATACCTCAGTGTTTTACCCACTCTGTGCCCATCTCCAGTCTCATTATATCATCTTCCTGTCTGTTTGAGATGGTGAATGGCCAGAGGATTTTAAAGGATGTATGAC